TGGTGAGAATCTGTTTTCTTGATACTGAACCTCAATCCATACTGAAGAATACAGTCCCTGACTTCCTGCTTCCTAGTCTATCTTAATCAGAAAGCTCAAAAAAAAAATCTATCCCCGTGGGAAAACCTTTTGGAATTTGACACACCAGTGGCAAGGATTTTAGTATCACAGCAACCCCAAGCATAGAAAAATGTTCTTTCCAAGCATAATCAATAGCAGGCTTGAGGGCCTGTAACCTGAAGGCCCAACGGAGTTTTAACTACAAAGGCCTGCCCATCAGATCCTGTTTGCCTACACAAGAGGCTGTCCCATCCAAGCTGATTGTAAACAAGATCAGATACATTTAATCAGCTTACACTTGATTGCTAACACAATTAGAAATGCCCAAACAGTTTACCACCCCCATCCCCGCCCCACCCTCTTCTTTCAAGTAAATGACACACACTCACCAGGACCCAACTTTGATGAGGAGACTCATCAATAACCTGCTTAGTCGGATGATACAACCTTACTTTCAGACAGTGAGGAGGACTTGAAGCACTTGTTGCAGAAGATCAAGGAATGCAGCCTTCAGTATGGATTGTGTCTAAATATCAAGAAAACAAAGATTCTTACCACTGGACCAGTAGGCAGTGTCATGGTGAATGAAGAGGAGATAGAAACTGTCAACAACTTCATCTTGCTTGGATCCACAATTAACACCCGTGGTACGAGCAGTCAGGAAATAAGGAGATGCATTGCATTGGGAAAATCTGAAATTAGGGACCTTTCCAAATTATTGAGTACTGATATCAGTTTGAGGACTAAGATGTGTCTGATTGAGGCCATAGTCATTCTGATTACTAGCTGTGCATCCGAGCGTGGACAGTGAATAAGGAGGAGAGAAAAAGAATTGATGCCTCTGAGCTGTGGTGTTGGAGAAGAGCATTAAACATGGATGGCCAAGAGAACAAATAGAAGAGGGTGCAGCCAGAGTGCTCTTTGGAGGCAAGAATGATGAGGCTTTGCCTCACATACTTTGGGCATATTGCTAGGAGATACTGGTCCTTGGAAAGCGACATGATGTGAGTCGTACTCAACTCCAAGGCACCTAACAACAACAACAACATCAATGTTCATAGCTACGTTATTCACAGTAGCCAGAAGGAGAAAATTGCCCAAATGGCCATCAATAGGTGATTGAGCAAACAAAATCTGATGCATGCATACGATAGGATTTGTCCAACATTAATAAGGAGGTGGTGGAAGAAGCCACATACAACAGGTCACATAGTGGATGATTCTGTTTGTGTAGAAGGTGCACAGAGTTCATCCTAAATCCATAGAGATGCAGTTTCCAGGGCCAGGGGAAGGGGATAGGAATAAGCAGGAATGCTTAATCTTGTTGTGTACCACTGAGTCAGACCCAGCCCATAGCTGACCCTCCAGCGGGTTTTTCAGAAGCAGTTAAACACACGAGAGGAGATTGCCCATCCTTCTCCCCTATTTAATGAGTGTAGGGCTTTCTTCTGGACAATGAGAACGTTCCCAACCTAGATTGAGTTGTCAGATGGAAGTGTAGTAAGTGCACTGAACTTTTCCTCACTTTGAAATGGGGGTTTTATGTAATATAAATTGGCACCTTTAACAATTTTTTTGTCCTTGATTAATTCTTTTTTTTTCTTTTAAATCCATTGTATTCTAAGTTTTCCCGCTTCTGAAGCTACTGACTAACAGTGGCCTTTAAATAGAGTTCCCTTGTTAAAGAAGACTCAGCCACTGAGCTGCCAGTGGGGGAACAGGCAGGGTGCAGCAGACACATTTGAGTGAGGATGTATGTTCCAGCCAACTGCTGTCTTGCTGCAGGGGTCCAGAGAGGCCAGGTGCAGGGCCTATTGTCCCCTGCAGGGAAGAGCCAGGGGCCAGATGCTTTCTCTTTCATGGGTCACTATCGATCCGGAAGCCCACAGTCTCAGCAGGCTTTTTTGGGTTTTGATCATGTACGTGTTTCTGCAGCACAACCAGCCTCGACAGTAAAGCCCTGCAGGCTCTCTCCAAGACAAATACAACAATCAATTTCTGTCATCAGTAAACAATGTGCCAAGCTGATCCAAATTCTCCCAAAACTCCTCCTCAGAGCTGTGCTACTAAGGCAGCACTATTAATCAATGTAGGGGGCTCAGCTAGCCTAGTCCATAGGGAGGTGAACTGCTAGCCCAAAAACTGCCTCTCAGGCTGTTCAAAAATTAGCATCCTTTTTCCATCCACTGTTCCTAATGTGTTATATTTCCCTTTATTTGGTTAACTCGCCTATGGGTCCATAAGTGGCCAGTGTGCTCCATCCACAGTTGGCAAAGATACTGGTGGAGCCCTGACCAATAGAGACCCAGCTTAGCTTAGTTTTTCTTCAGCAGCTGTATCACCATTGGTTCCGTACTGATGTTGCAGCCTGCTTAAGCTGCCTTGTGGTCTTCACCTGATTGACTGAAAGCCAGCTCCTCCCTCTGCACCCTTACGTCATTGTTATTTTGAACTGACATGTCAAACTTTGGTCTTGCTTCCTGATTCTGCTTCATCTTGTTGACCTTGACTGTCACTTCAGCCAGTCTGTATTCTCCTTAACATTGATGTCTCTCAACCAGAGATTAGCTGTCCAAGTTTTTTATAAAAGATAAATGCATTAAGGATACCCCTGTGTCTCTCTTCAGCCCATAGATGTTTAGAACAGAGAAGATAGGTGAAAAACAAATCTGTGGAGCATTGTCACAGGCTGCTTCTAGATTGACATCAGTCTTCTAGTCAGATGTATTTGCATAGAGAATTCATGGTGTTCTAATCCACACTTCTCACATTTGTCCACACTGCTATTGTGAGAGACTATTTCAAGTACTCTGGTAAAGTCAGAAGTGCTAAGTCTACTGAATTTCCTTTGTATCTGTCCAAAATTATTTCAAGAATAATTATAATAATAAGTATTGTTCAGCCTAAACCAGTTCTCCCCCTTTTGGTGGATAAGCCAAATTCTATTTGCTAAAATGATGCTGATCAGTTGTATTTTAATGTACTTTAAAATAAGTTGTTGTTATATGCTGGCAAGTACAACTCATAGGAACCCTTTGAACAACAGACCTGAACCCTGTCCTGCCCTGTGCCGTCCCCATCATCTCTGACATAACTTGAGCCCATTGCTGCAGTCAGCGTGTCAGTCCATCTCATTGAGGCTCTTCCTCTCCTTTGCTGACCCTTCACTTTCAGGCGGCATCATAATGTTTTGCCACTGATGATTGTACTTGAGTATCATCTAGTGAGAAGCAACTATTCTGCTCTACTTGAAGGGTTTTTGTGGCTTCCTATTGTTTTTAGGATTAATTTAAGCTTCTCCATGCAAGACCTCTCATGACTAAACCCTGCCTGCTTTCCCTGCTTCATCTGCTCTTATCTCTCACATGTGCCTAACACTTAACACACTGGCCATGCCACACTCCTAGAGATGTCATCACCCACCTAAAGTGTTGTTCTCCCTTTAACACAGTTCCCAACTCTTCCCATCATCCAGGATATGTGCATGCGCACACAAACACCTCGTATGAAACTGTGTTGATAAATGCTTCAAAATGTTCCTGTGAGTGTCACATCTACTCTCAACTCATAGTTGCCTCACTTGAGGAAAAACCCCTTGCTTTTGTCATGTTAAATAGTCCTGTCTTTCTGCAACTGATTATTTTTATCCCACAGATGGTGGAAATTGTCTGACATGCTTTCCCTCTTCACAATCGCTGCTAGAAAACTCAGGCAGCTCTGTGGCCCATCCATCCATGGTAGTTACACATGGTATCACAGTGTTCATTATTTACCTTGTTCTGAGCTCCTTTCACATCTAGTCTTGCTTTTCTTTAACTTTGCTGTCCATGGTGCCATCTTGGCATGTGTAAGCTATAATCAAATTCTTTTTTGTGATAAAGTAGTGATTTCTAAACTTGCATGCTTATTTTTAAAACAAAAGACCCTCAACGAGATAGATAACCCAGTAGCAGCAGCAGTAGCTCAAGACTGCCTTCTGTTGTGAGAATGTATGGGGCCTGACAGCATCAAGTTCTGTTCTCCGTGAGTCACTGTGAGTTGGAGCTGACACGGCAGCACCTGACAGTGTAACTGGTTCATCAAAGTGGAAATGTGTGCACACGTATGATGTGACTATCACAGAGAGTGATTTACAGTATATAGAGATGAAGGAACCCTGGTGGTGCAGCCATGAAGCACTCAGCTGAATGGCAATGGGTTGAACCCACTAGCCACTTTAGGGGAGAAGGCTGTGGCAGACTGCTTTGAAGATTAAAGCCTTTGGAAGATTCTGCTCCCCCCGGTAGTGTCACTATGTGTCAGAATCAACTCAGCGCCGATGGAGTGTGCGTACGCCAGTGGTTCTCAGTTGAGAATGATCTCTGTCTCCCAAGGGATAGTTGGCAGTGTCTGGTTGTCACACCTTGGAAATGTTGTTGGCAGTCCTACATTGTACAAAACAGTCACCCATCGCATAAAATTATCTGACCCAAAATGACAGTTGGCAGTGTCTGGTTGTCACATCTTGGGAATGTTACTGGCATCCTACATTGTACAAAACAGTCACCCACTGCATAGAATTATCTGACCCAAAATGACAACACTTCTGAAGCTAACACACTCTCCTACAGTCCCATGGCTAAAGAAACGTTTTACTCTGTTAAACAATGGCATGTTTTGCCTTGTATTTTGTTCTAGTATTCATTGTGTGTTCTGAGTGGGAAGGTTGCCCCTTAACTAAATTTGCTGTCAGTCAAATAAATATTCCTGAAAGTGTTTTTGAGGTTATTTTGGGTTTTATTTCCCTTCAGAAATCTATGTTGTTACACCCACCAGTTCACAACTTCAGATCAACAGGATTGGAGGGAAGGGTGCTTTTCAGTCCTGTCCCAGGCTTTGGAATGTTTGCTCCAGGAGCCTAGTAAATGAGTGTGCTCTTCCCGTTCTCTTCCTCTCTGCAGGCTTTCGTGGAGACCATGAGCACCAAGAGAGCCCCGGTGGAGGAGGCCTTTCTTTATGCCAAGGTGAGGCAGGTGCTTGGGAGGGATTGAGGGAGGTGACCGTCATGTCATTGACTGGCCAGTGGCATCTAGTTGACTTGTCATGGATGTGGCCAGGATGTCAATGGAGAGGATTTGCTGCTTAAATGTCACTGGTGATTTATTAGATTCATCTAATTAAATGAGGAAATGACCAAGTAGAACAGATGAAGAAGGAAAGTCTTAGATAAATGTGAGATGAGGAGCTACTGTTTAGTTAAACATGAAGGAAACAGTCTGAGCTAATGAATGCTCTGATCTCAGAGAGAGCAAAAATAGTGAAATTTATCATTTGCTGATAAGCATCCTTTTTCATTTTTCTAGAGCACTGGGCTGAAAGATTGAAATCAGGCCTGCATTTCTGTGCAAACCCATTTTTATATAAACACGTCATACGTTTCTTGTGCCACACAACCTGTGCACGTTCCTTTCACCAGCGAACTCCACAGAGTTTCTCCCGTTGCTCACTTCCTTGTCCAATGGATTTAATGTGAAGCTTTTGTCTCAGGGCCCATTGACATAGCGATTTGGATCCCAGCAGCCGACCCTTGGCAGCCAGCCCTTGAAGTTCTCAAGTGGCACCATCCTGGCAGAAATCCTCCCATGCTTTCCAAACCGTTTTCTCCAGTTTGGGGGAAAATCCCTTTCTCCCCTAAATATAACCCTCATCAGGAATAGCAACCCAACCCAGATGTTGCTTAGATCTTTACACCTCAGACCAGAGAGGCCACTTAGATGGGCAAGGCTGGCATGCCAGAGCTGTGCTCATTCTGCCACTGTCCAGCAGGTGTCACTCTCACACTGTTTGAACCACTCCAGGGTGAGCAGAGGCACAGAGGGTCCTCCGTCTGTTGCTTGAACAAGGCTGTGTGCTGGCTGCTGTATCCACACTCGTGCTCTCTTGCTCCCTGCTTCACATGGGACTGGCAGCCCATGTACCCAGGCATAGATCAGCTGCTGGAAGCTCCATCACTGCTGGGCCTGGCTGTGAACTGTCCTAGACAATGCTCAGCTTTATTTGTTTACTTTCCCATTATAAGTATACTCCAAATTTGATCTATGGCTTCTTGATCTGTACCTTTATTATACAAATAGAATAAAAAGTAACAATTTTGGACAAGTGATTGATGACAAAATGCAGTTTTGGAAATATTCAGGTGTACACATGTCTACACGAGAAGTTTCTGTGCCATCAAGCTTCAGCACTGGGAAATCCTTGGGAAAAGACAGAGATGATGTCCCAGGCTGAAACCTGAGCACACACAAGTTTTGGTTTTTTTACACACATTGTGAGGTTTATTAAGGAAACAGGTTGGGGAGAGGCAAAGGGATAAAACACAGTGAAAGTCCTGGTTTAATCCAGCAGTCCCAAGCCAGATTAACAAGAAGATACAATTTTTCAATTAGTTCAGATAGCTTCTTCAGTCACAGGTTAAACTCCAGGTTCAGTCCAGCAACACAAATACAAGAAGTCTCTGGTTTCCTCAATCATCTAGCAAGTTTTATCTCATAGCCGTCACAAGTCAGCTTCAGTCATCCAACAAGTAGAGCCTTTAACTTGGGCTCTGTCTCAAGGGCTCTATCAGCTACATCTCACTGCAGGCTATCTACAGTCAGGTTGACTCTTTTGTTGATCTTGCAGCTGTTGATGATGTTAAAGATGCTGTTCAACAGGTGGACCATATGTTTGTAGTCAAGGCAGCTAGAGACCATGCCTCCCGAGGAGGCTAAGGCAATGTGTATAAAAGCCATTTTCAGAAGTCCTAATACCACAGCAGCACAAAGATCTTTCCAACAGACAGTCCTAGGAGATTGCTGCCCTCATTCCTATGTTACCATTAGGTGTCCTAGATAAGCCACATGCCAGGAGGACTCTGTCACACAGCCACCACAATCCTGACAGTATGGTTCTGAACAAGTCACCTTTCAGAATCTTAGTTTCCTCATATTTACAGTGTTGTTATTAGGTGTCATCAAGCTGACTACAACTCACAGTGACCCTATGAACAAAAAATATGAACCCTGCTCTACCCAGCATCATCCTTATGAAGATTCTTATACTCGAGCCCGTTGGCAGAGTTGCTGTGTTAGCCTATCTTATTGAGGGTCTTCTCTTTTTGTCTGACCCCTCACCTTTCCCAGCATGATGTCCTTTTCTAACATACTTAAAGCATGTGAGATAAATATTTTTTTTAAAAGAAACTGAGGTGTACTTTACATGTGATAAAGTGTTTAAATCTTAAGTGTAGCACTGGATAACTTCTTTTTTTATGTGTGTTGCTACCGAGTTGGTTTCAAATCTTGGCAACTCCATATACAACAGAACAGAACATCACTGGGTCCTGGGCCATCTTCACCATCACTGATATGTCAAGTCCATTGTTGCAGCCACTGTGTATATTGAATGCCTTCCAACCTGGAGGCTCATCTTTTAGAAAATACTGGACAATATTCTGCTGTTATGAGGCTTTTATTAGCTAATGCTTGGAAGTAGATCAGACCTTTCTTCTTAGTCTGTCTCAATCTAGAAGTTTCACTGAAACCCATTCACCATGGTGGCTCTACTTTCTCTTCTTTTCTTCCATAGAGTTGGAACTGACCCATAGTTGATGCTCTGTCAGGTTTTCAGAGGCAGTTAATCACACAGGAGCACACGCAAGTTTTAAACATCATTTCCACACTAATATGTGTGGGCACACTCTTCATAGAAAATAGTGCCATTTAGAGCTTTGGTGATCTTCCTTTTTCAAATCCTCATAAATATGAATAAGCAGATGAAACTACACGATTGCATCTCTCTGGTCACTCTAGTCACAGGTTTCTGTGTCCTTTTATGACCCATAACAATCAGGGAATTGAAAGAATACTCAGAGGAAGACTTAGTAAGAGGACCAGTAAGAGAAAGCAAGTTCAGAATATGCTTAGCATGTGGGTGAGAATTAAAGAATTGTAGCATAAAAAGTGTGGCTGGATGTGATGAATAGTTTACAACTGGTGGCTTAAGAACTATTGGGGAGGGGTAGGCTATTGAGTGAGCGCCTGGGCTGGGAGAGCCCTCCTGAACGTTTCTGTTGTCACAGCCTGGTGTTCTTTTTCGCAGTTTGAATTTGAGTGCCGGGCTCGTGGCGCAGACATCTTAGCCTACCCACCTGTGGTTGCCGGTGGTAATCGGTCCAACACTTTGCACTATGTGAACAATAATCAGCTCATCAAGGTATGCTTAATGTCCTTCCCGGTCTGTACTGCCTCCACTGGGGCCAGATGTCTGAATAGACCACACAGTCATCTCCTGCTCCTTTCACAAATTAACTGTTATTTATAAAGACCTCATTGTTAATAAAATGCTTTTTGCAGACATTATCGCATTTGCTCCTCACGTTCACTGTCAGTCAGGAGCAGTTACTTGGAGCTTGCCGTTAGGGATGAGGATGATAAATCCAAAAGAAATTAAATGCAGGGCCAGGTGTTCTATGCTGCAAGTGTTTTACTCATTTTACTTTATAACACTGCTTCTCTAAGCACTTGTGAGGAAAGTGTAGTATTCTGTTTACATAAAGGTGCAAAATGAGCAAAAGGTGTCTATGAGAAGCCACATCAGTGGTCATTTCCAGTTGGAGAGTTAACTGAGAAAAGGATATGATGGGTAATAGTATGTGTATTTGATAAAAATGATTCAAAGTGTAGCTCAAGGCTTTTTCTTGTACTAAAGTAAGATTAAATAAACACAGTCTGTACCTGGTCCAGTTTCTCTATCAGTTCTTAAAGACACAATTAGGAATTGATCTTATTCGTAACCCAGAGACTGCCTATACTTACGATCTGTGCATTTTACTATTTATTAATAAAGTTATGCCTCCAAAACATTTATATATATATATCTCTGAAGAAATTTTGTTGACTTTTGTTGGCTTTCCGCGTCATTAATCCTTTCTGATGTTTTATCTTTGTTTTCTCTCATTGCTTTTTATACTTACCTTGATAATTTTTATCCTTTTACTCTGGTTATTTGGTTGTCCTTTTTTGTTGTTGTTATGTTGTTAAGTGCAGTCGCGTCGCAGGCGACTCATAGCCACCCTATGAAGGAGAGTCCTCAACGCTTGGGTGTCTTTCATCCTCTCTCCAGGTTCATAGGGTTTCCAGAGGCAAGCTATTATGGAAGTGGATGCCACTCCTCCTTCCAAGCTTGTTTTAATTGGGGAGCTCCACCCCACTCTCTGTCCGCATTGGGTAGCCAACTATTAACACATTTGACACATTAGTGTCACAGTGTTCAGCCTCACAGCAACCACAAGTGACCGCGGTACGGCAACTTGTACACCAGGGCCTAGAGGAATGTCTGAACAAAAGCAATAAAAGACAGGCCCGAGGGCCGCAGATTAAAAGTCACCCACCTTTGGCTTGGTAGCATCGCTTTCTGTCCACTGGGCCAGCTGATCTCTCTCTGTGTTGATATTGTTGTTAAGTGCCGTCGAGTTGCAGGCGACTCATAGCGACCCTATGAAGGAGAGTCCTCAACACTTAGGTGCCTTTCATCCTCTCTTCAAGTTCATAGGGTTTCCAGAGACAAGCTGTTAATGGAAGTGGATGCCACTCCTCCTTCCAAGTCCTTTTTTTAGTTAGTTTTAATTTTTCTTCTAAGTGATTTAAAATAGATTTCTCACTTTTTAAGTTAGGAAGTATATATTGAGAGCAACTGATGGTATGGTATACAGTTTAAAAAATACTAATAGGTAAGCTCTGGTGGCCTAGTGGCAAAAAGCTGCACTGCAATCCCAGAGGTACGTGGTTTGAATCCACCTGATGCTCTGCTAGAGAAGGAGAAACAATCTCCTCTTGTATCTGTCAGATCCAATTTGGTGGTACACACACACAAAATAATGAAAATTTTAAAAAAATTAAAAATACTAATAACATGAGTAGTCATGTTGCCTCCCATTAACAAGTTACCGCAAATGATGGCAAAAAAAATGTGTTTCTAAGCATGGTCGTCAATTTAAACATTTGCAGCAACATGTTAAAGACAAGAACTTCACAGTGTAGAGGTCCCCGAGTGATTCCAGTCACATCCTCCTCCCTACCTTTCAGAGGTAACAGTTTTCACTTTAGCGATCACTTACTTGCTTTTCCTTATGTTTTTACCCCTGACATGTCTATTTCTAATGAGTATGTTGTTCACTATGGGGAAACTGAGGATTAAGCACAAACACAGCTTGAGAAAGAGAGAGAGCAGTGTCACTTCTATGAGTTGGCGTGACCTAAGAAATAGAAGTTGAGAACTTGTAGTGTTTGTTAGGTCTTCACACTGGATGTAAGGCCAAGGAGTCAAGGAAGGGACCAGAGAGAAAGTTTGCTCTCCCTTTGATCTTGGTCTAGATTTTTACCTTGGTCAAGGCATGAGCCCAGTTCAGCATGAGTTCCCTGAGATCTTAGGAGAACCACTTCTGGCGAAGTCAGTGGGCATGGTAATCAAGAAGTTTGATTTATTTGGGTTCTGTTTAGGAGTCTTGATTGCTCAGTGGTAGGCGAGCTCAGCAGCTGGCTGAAAGGTCAGCACTTTAAATCCACCAGACATTCTGTTGAGAGAAGAGATGTGGCAGCCTGCTCTTTGTAAGGAGTATACAGCCGCGGGAACCCTCTGGGTTGTGACAGTGTTCCTCGTGTACCTAGTCATTTAAACCCAAGCAGTTTGTGCTTCTGCAGCTTATGCACTTGTCCTTTAGCTAACCTTTAAGCAATGCTACTGTTCTCAAGCCAGTGCAAATCCCTTTGACAAAGTTAGATGCTCTTTCTTTGGAGAAGGAGCTAGAAATCAGTCTTCTTTAAATTAAAGGTTTTAAAAATCACATAAAAGGCACAACTAGTTTTCATCAGAAGAAAAATTCATGAGGTCTCCCATGTATCCCATTTTCCTTTTATTCCAGGATGGGGAGATGGTGCTTCTGGATGGCGGCTGTGAGGCTTCGTGCTACGTGAGTGACATCACCCGCACCTGGCCGGTCAATGGCAGGTAGGGCTTCTACAGAGTTGCACGTCCCGCTGCTGCATAGCAGTGTGGGTTCCAGTATGGATGGATTCAGTGTCTAAAGAATGATACTGAGTCTGTTAGCTGCCTTTACAAAGACCCTATTAAGGTTTCTGAGATTATTTTGCACATTGTATCATAGGATCGGACCTCTAGGAATGATTAGTCAGCGTGACACACACACACACACACACACACACACACACACACATTATGAATAATTTTGATGTTTATTTTTCTGATTACAAAAGTTACCCTTTATAGTAGGGTAGTTTTCTGGATTATCCTTCCAAAGAAATCCTCATAAAATGTAAATAAAATATCAGAACCAACTATTAGAATGTAGAGTGTTTTTCCAAAATCAAGCATAAACTGGGTAAGTCTGTCCTTTAAAGAACTCTAATGAGTGAAATGCAAATACTGGGACGTTTTTGCCACAGCTTAGGCAGCAGAAAGCCACAGGCTTCTTGGCTTTAGAAACTTTATGTCAAAAGCAAATAGAGTAACATGTTGAAGGTGTTCAGAGGAAGAAAGCACACGTCATACTCAACAAAACCCTCTGTCAACTATAAAGAGCACATATTCTCAACACATAAGAGCTCAAAAGAAACTACCCCCATGAGTCATTCATGAGCCATCTACGAGCTGGGCTGTGCATAGTAAGAGCCACTACTAATATGAGGCTACTGACATTAATTAAAATTGAATCACGTTTTAAGATTTTGGTCTCTAGTTCTACCACATGTCACATGCTCAGTAGTTGTGTGACTGGAAGCCACCAGCTTGAACAGTGCAGGTGAAGGCCATTTCCATTACCACAGAAAGACTTAGTAGACAGTCCTGTCTTGGAAAAGGAGCTTCAGGTGACCAGAATGATTCAGGATAGATGGAGCCGAGAACTTGTGCTGAGCATTATTCTAGCTGGTTAATTGTAGAACTAAGACCATATGAGAACCAGGAGGAAGAGAGGAAAGTCTCTTTGCTGTTGTAACGTAAACTGGCACAGGTTTTCTTTTAAGTGGAGACAGTGAGAAACACCTTTGTAAAGATAGTTTTCCGTCACCATGTTGGTTTGGTTTTGTGTTGTTTGTTTTTTGAGGTTTTTGGGTTGTGGTTTTTTTTTTAGTTACCTTGTTTTTGTATGAGTTGCATTGTTACTCAGAAACTGTTGTGTGTGTAATAAGGGATAAAACGAGTGATTATAAGCTGCTGGTGTGTTCATACAGGGAAGCACCTCTCAGCAGTAAAAAGGACCCAGGTGTTAATGGAGCAGCTCAGCAGTAGATGAATGATCAACACAAGGCCAGTTCCTATGAGGCAGAGGTTCAGGATGTCCCGAGTGTCCACCTTTTTTCCTGCACCACTCCGTCATCTCTGACACTTGCTACTCCCCCCTCCTCTAATCTGGGTTTGGTAATTCCCTCCATCTCACAGAACTCGCAAAACTCGGCTTTCAGTCACGTAGTTTATTTGGGAAATGATGGGTACGACTGAGGATCAGGACCAACTTGGAAATAACAACAGCTCAGGCCACAGTTCTCCATCAGAAAAGCTCTTCTTGCCCTGTGTCGTCGGCCTTGCTGCCAGTGGGCCCTGCTGGGGCCTTCACAGGAATATATTACAACCCTGAGCCCCATGGCTTAGGAAGCTCCACCACAGTTGCCTGTCACCAGCCTACTGGTTCTGGTTGTCTTGTGACACTTTGGCACTTAACACCACTCATCCTCCTCTCCTGCTGTCTTCTGTATTACAGCTTTTCTCTCTTTCTTTAAGCCTGTTTTTTTTCTTATTGTTGTTGTTGTGTGCCGTTGAGTTGCCTGCGACTCACAGCGACCCTGTGTACAACAGCCCTAAACCCTGCTCTATCCTGTGCCAATTTCACTTTCTCCGACACACCTACTCCCGTTACCCAGTCACTGAACCAATCCACCTCTTCGAGGGTCTTCCTCTCCTGTGCTGTCCCTCTACCTTCCCAAGCATGGCGCCCCTCCCTAAGAACTGATCCCTCCTTGCAACATGTACAAAGTTCAGACGAAGCTTCAGAATCCTTGCCTCCAAGGAGCAGCCTGGTTTAACCCTCTCCAGGATGAACCTGTTCATTCTCTTAGCAGTCCAAGGTATTTTGAATACTCTTCTCCAACACTACAGCTCAAAGGCATCAATCCTCCCTAGTCATTGTCCTGATGTATAGCAAGGGATTACAAAGACCATGGCCTGTATCAGGCACACCTTAATCTCCAAACTGACATCGTTGCTCTTCAGTACTTTGGTGAGGTCTCTAACAGCAGATTTTCTGCTGTTTAAGCCTAGCAGTGACAAAACTGAAAGTCCTGCCACCATGAGGTTTCCATGCCCCCTATTTGCATTGGCAGCAAGCTGTCCAGTGCTGTGGTTGGGTAGACCATGTCACTTCATTTGTGGTGGTGGTGGTGTTGTGTACCCTTGAGTCAGAACTGACTCATAGCTGACCCTCCAGCAGGTTTTCAAAGGCAGTAAATTGCATGTGAGGAGTTTGCCCATCTTTCTCCTACAGAACAAATGGTGTTCAAACCATGTATCTGTATCTTAGGGTTGCTATGCATCACAAGCTACTCAACCAGTAACATTCTATGACAGGTTTGGAAGCAGGCGTGGCATTCACTTCCTAAGCAACTTGCCTCTGGAAACTCTATGAACTTTGATAAATGTTGTAGAGAGGCTTCAGGCCTTTTGTTCATAGGGTCACTGTGAGTCATGCTCGACTCAAGGCAATCAATAACAGCAACAACCTTTACCTTGGCAGCACAATTCCTTATCTCCTCCCATCCTATTTACTGCTTGTGGAAACGTGCTGGAGGGTGACCTGTAGGGTAGTTCCAACTTGGCAGCACACAACAACAAGGTTAAGTCAGCAGCCCTCCCTCTTCATCTGCACAGCATTCCTAAATCACTGCATGGGGTGTCAGAGTTTTCTACCAAGAGGGCCAATTTAAGGCAGGCGTTGCACTGGGCAGAAGTGCACTAACACTGCGTGGCTTAGTGAGAAGCCAGATACTAACAAGCACATTCTGTACAATTCCTTATCTGTCTGATACCTTGTAACAGTCAAAAATCAGTCTGAGGAGGGAATAACCAGAATACCATTTGCCTCTGAAAGTAGGGTTATTGATTGAAAAGGAACATGAGAGAACTTTCCGGGGAGATGGAAATGTCCTGCATTAATGTTGTTGTTGCTGTTGCTGCAGTTAGATGCCATGAGTTGACTGCAACGCATAACAACCCCATGAACTACAGATCTAACCTTGCCCAGCCTAGGGATATAGATGTCCATTTGCCAAAATTGTGCAATTCAAATTTCTGTTTTTAGGTATGCAAATCCTACCTTAGGAAGTGAACTATTAAACAGAAGTATAATCATTTAGTAGAGGTGAGGTAAAATGTTGTTGCAGGTATTGATACCAACATAATGAGACTGCTAACAGTTGAGCCTGGAAGGTAAAGTACACAGTGGTCTGAGCAGTGTGTTAGGTTGTTGTACTTTATAGTTACTCTGTTAGGAGACATTGCACTTGTGTTTAGTACTTTGCAGTTAGTAACTAATAACTTCACATTATTTCACATTGCACTGAAGAGTTTTATCCAGACAACTTTTATTATTGCAAGTATTTTTAGGAAAGATTCTTAGAATACAGTTTGAAGCACTAAGTGTATGATTGTGTGTGTGTGTGTGTAGATCTGACTGATAAAGGAGGAGATTGCCCCTCCTTCTCCAGCAGAGCATCTGGTGGGTTAGAACCACATACCTCTGGGATCGCAGTGCAGCTTTTTGCTACTAGGCCACCGGGGCTCCCCTAGTATATGATCATCTTTAAGCTTTTGGACTTAATTGGCTGAACTGATTTATGCTTTTATCATGACCGGGGTGTGAGAATACATATCATATACTGCTCTAACTCATTTTTTAGAGTTTGTTTTTTCCCCCCCACCATGGTTGCTAAGGAAATTGTTCCTCTTTCACCTGGGTACCAGAAAGATTATAGTAGCCAAGATACTGACTAGTTTATCCTGTAACTGGTTCCGTCTATTAGAATTGGCTTTGATTTTGATTTGTTTCATTTTGGTTTCAAATAGTAGCGTGTGCAAGTAGCCTCTGATTCACAACAAAGTCAAGTTCCAATGAACTACACTTTGAGCCGTCTTTTGTTTTGTGTACTTTCTGTATTCACTGAACTCCCCTCACGAGATTTACAGCCTCCAAAAACTCATTCAGCTGTGAGTTTGGCAGTGAATTATATGTATATGCTGATTTATGCTCTAATATATACTGTCTACACTGTTGCGTCACAATTTGCTGATACTTTCATTCTTACATGATCACTTCTAGATGGTCAAAGATCAATTTTGTAAAGATCCTGATAATAAAAGGCAATAATTAATTGAAACTAATAATGAAAGGAGCTAATAATAGTGAGGGAGCTCTGGTGGCTTAGGATAAGGAGTTGTGCTGCCGACCCAAAGGCCTAACGTTCAAGTCCACAAGTTCCTCTGTGGGAAAAAGAACAGTCTCCTCGATGTGATTTACTGCCTCTGAAAACCTGCTAGTGAGTCAGCTATGAATTGGTTCTGACTCAGTTGTACATAACAAGGTATTTGATTTGTGTCAGAACTTACTTACAATCAAGTCACCGGCACAGAACCTCACTGAAAGTTGGGAACTGCGTGTACCGTAAGGTAATAGAGAAGAGAAGGGTGAGTCTGGTCTGGCTCTTCACCCCCAGCTGGCTGGGTCTTCTATGGCGCTGGCTCTCTGAAGGATGCACGTGTAGGTGAACAGTTCAAGCATGCCTGAGGCCCTGTCAGTAATGATAGATGCGTGCTTCTGGAGTGTCAGAAGTGTCCTGTCATCATCTTCTTGGAGCTTTTTAAATCATGCTTAGAAATAAATTTCCTTCAGTGTCCGGTTGTTCCAAATCAGGTTCTTTGGCTTCCTGTCCCCAGGTTCACCGCACCTCAGGCTGAACTCTATGAAGCTGTCCTCGAGATCCAGAAGACTTGTCTGAGCCTCTGCTCCCCTGGGTCGAGCTTGGAGAACATCTACAGCCTGATGCTGACGCTGATAGGACAGAAGCTTCAAGAGCTGGGGATCAGCAGGGAGAATGATGCCTTCAAGGTCCTTCACTTCTCACCATCCATTTTCAAAATCTTGTTTGGGTTTTACCTTCTATAAAGCTGATAAGGCTTAGAAATGATCTTTGTGACTTCATCTCAAAGAGGCTGAAATTCGGCACTCCCCCAGACGCTACTTAGACTTATGGACTTTCATTGATTCCAACTCATGGTGACTCAGTGTTTAGCTACCCAGGCAGTCCCAGGGAATCCTTTCATTCGAATTTGTATATAAATTAGAACAGTTACATATGCTTCATATTTAATGTCAGCCAACTGTTTATCTCAGTATAAAGTAAACAGTGTCCTTTCTGTGCATAAAAAATCTTAAACACAATAATACAGTGACAGTAATGTTTGGCTGTGCATTGCTACAGAGTACCCATACTATGAACAATTTTTCTTTACCTCCTGTTTTTAATATAACAGGTTTTATGGGGTTACTTGGTACTGTGGGCTGTACAGAAGTCTGACATTCATAACCTGAGGCCTGTCTGTGTACAGCTGTGTTCCATGGGGTTGTTGGAGACTGGTGTTTCGAAAGTAGACACCTAAGTCCCTCCTGTGAGGCAGGTGCCCAAAACCCTCCAACATTCTGGTTAGCGCTTGAGTGTGTAAACCTTTTACAACACCCAGAAACTCAAAGACTATCTGGAGTAAAACAAAGGGCGTCAGTACTTCCTCCTCCAGAAGATGGCAGCACATTCTGACTCATTGCCTAAAGCATAACTAGCTCTCTAACAGAAAGCAGAAAACATAAAAATCCAAGTCTGGTGCAGACGGAGGGGAAAAGAGGAGAGGTTAATTCTTAATCCTTTTGCAGTGATTCTGAAAAGGAAGATATTGAAAGAGGATGTTTGTGTTCAGTGGTGGTGTTGGAACTTGAACAGTATGCCCTGGGTCCATATCTTTGAAGAAATTTTTATCTGAATCCCAATGTAAATGGTTTTCAGTAAAAATGAGAATCCAGGGATTTAAAGAAAGGTGCTGGTTGCTCTCAAGTGCCACAGGCCATTAACCATCTCCCGCCTCCAGTATTAGGCTATCAGGGCCTCTGTCAATGGATGAACAGCTGTAAATCTCCTGCAGAGGCCAACAATCTTTAATAAACAGAAACCTCCACCCTGATAGTTGTTGTTGTTGTTTTTGTTGTTGTTGTTATGTGCCATCGAGTCGCTTGCAACTCATAGTGACCCTATGTACAAGAGCCCTAAACGCCGTTATATCCTGTGCCAACCTCGCTATCCCAAACACATTCATTCCCACCACTCCACTCACAGAATCGATCCATCTCATCAAGGGTCTTCCTCTCCTGCTCCATCCCGCCACTCTCCCAAACATGATGTCCCTCTCCAAGGACCAGTCCCTCCTTGCAACATGCCCAAAGTATGTCACCCTGTAGATCACCCTGGTAGATACCCTGTAATTAGTCTGTTACTTGAGGTGTCATCTGACTCCACAAACTGTTGTGAAGACAGTTCAGGTGTCTAGAGGGGCTTCTTGAGAAACAACTCCCTCAGAATAAAGCGTTCGGGTGTCCAGAGGGGCTTCTTGAGAAACGACTCCCTCAGAATAAAGAGGTTTTCGTTTATCTTAGTACTGGAGATGCCTAGGTTAGTATGATCCGATGTTAACTGCTCGGAGAGTGAAGCACAGGTTAGTGGAATACCATTGGCAGAATTGTTTGCAGGAGACGGCAGTTTACCCAGGTCATGGATGTTAGCTTAAGAAGAGGTTAAACTAAGTGGCAGAACTACTGGGAGGTGTTAACACTGGTTCATATATGTCCAGCTTTCCCCTTAAGGGTCATTCCTCTAAGAACACTGTGGTGATTGTCTTTTCCAGGCCGCTCGAAAATACTGCCCACACCATGTTGGCCATTACCTTGGGATGGATGTCCACGACACCCCAGACATGCCCCGTTCCCTCCCACTGCAGCCAGGGATGGTGATCACAGTCGAGCCAGGTAAGGGCTATGCTGGCATCCTTTGACCCGTTGGGACACAGAAGAATATATATGTGAGCTACAAAGGCAGTGTTTCTTTTTACTTAAGTCAACTAATTCAGCTAGAAGATACAGGAAAATGAGTCTGTCTTGGGTAGTCAGGGGCCTTATTTATTTTAGAGCTATCTTTAGCTTTCTCATTTAGCATCACATAATTTGTTTAATTTGACTTCTCCTATCAACAACAGATGGGGAGTACTCTATAAGTAGACATTAAGAAATAAATCTCTCTTTTAAGCCTGCCTCTGCCAAGACCAATTTGTATGATTTCCCATTTAATAGTGGCTGGGCTACTTGAGCTTCTAAAGTGCCCAGGTCTTTGGTGCAGACACACCTCTGCAAGGGGCTTGGAAGAACACAGCATTGTGTCTGCTTGGTACCTACAGCCTTTCTCATACGCCTCAGAGTAAGGGAACAACTGGTAGGTTACCTGAACAACCTGGTAGGTTAGATGATGCTGGACATCAGGCAGAATTCTCAAAAGAAGCACAAAATGTGAAGATTAATATTTCAGAGGTTGATTTTTTTAAACACTGATGTTTTTATCTTGAAAATAGATCTCAATCTTAGATTCAAGTGTTTTAATCTCAAAAATCATTATGTGTAATATTCTTTCCTAAATTATTTTGCTCTCCATATTTCTGTGACTCTCTCTGTCTTAATATTAGACCAATCCAGCTAATACATGGAACTCTGGTGGTTTACTGGGGAAAGAGAAAGAGTTGTGCTGGCAACCCAAAGGCCAGCAGTTCAAATCCACCAGCTGCTCCGAGTGAGAAAGATGAGTGATCTCATCTTCCTCCAGTATGATTTTCAGTCTCTAGAAATCTGGTGGAAGGAATTTCAGCCATGACTCACTTCCAACTTGATGGCAATACGTTTGAGTTTTGTTTTTTGGGGGGGGGGGAGGGTGTAGGTTTGGTTTTGTTTTGTTCTAGTGAACACATAGATGTTGGTACTCTGAATAGAAATGGTTCGATGGCATTGAGTAGGTGTCCCTGGCTGGTCTTTGTCTTTTTATTACAGAGCAGTATCTGTGAGTAAAGAGAAGGGTGTTTGTTTTGTCTGAAAAGACTTGGTATCTGTCTGACTTCATGTTGAGAGAGAATACCTTGGGCTCCTAGATTTTTCTAAACAGCCATCAAAGTCTATTTCTCTCTTATTTTACGTCATAATTTACATTTAAAGTTTTTTAAGGAAAATCGTTTGTTGACTATTTCCCCAACTTCTGGTTAGTTAGACTAATAATCTGTAGTTACGTGCTTAAAACATTTTAAAATACTTTACATCATTAGCAGAATGCCCTTTTCCAAGGAGAGTATTAGACAGGGAAAGGATGCCCTTAAATAGTCTGCTGGTTTCCAGTGGTATTGGGAAACTCAGAGGCGAAATAACTTTGTGGGCCTACTTAAGCTACTAAAACAGGGCAGAATCAAGATTAGCATTATAGTTGTTTGAAATTTTTGGTCTTAAGATATAAAATGGTTAATACAAATTAGAACACACTCCTAGCTGACCCGCCAGCAGGTGTTCAGAGGCTGTAAATCACACAGGAGGAGATTGTCCATTTTCCTCCTACAGAGCAGCTCATATGGATTCAAACCTCCTGCCTTTGGGTTGGCAGCTCACTTCTTACCCACTAGGCCACCAGAGCTCAGTTTTGAGTTTTTTGAGGAGTTGATGATCTTAACATATTGAAAAAATGAGTTCTACTAGTAGTAGTAGTAATAGTAGTCACTAGATCAGGAGATAAAATCACTTGCTATGCTTGTGAGAGCTGGATGATGAAAAAGAGTGACAGAAGAATTGAGACCTTTGAATGGTGCTATTGGAGAAGAGTACTAAAGAACCCGTGGACTGCTAAAAGAACAGACAGATAGGTCTTGGGGAAAGGGCAACCAGAATGCTCCTGGGAAGCAAGGATGGGGAAGCTTCATTTCACATACTTTGGGCATGTTGCTTGGAGAGGCTATTCCTTGGAATGCTTGGAATAGTGTGCTTGGAAAGTTAGAGAGTCAGTGAAAGAAGGGAACACCCTCCCTCAGTGAAATGCATTGACTCAGCAATGGGCTCAAGCTTGTCAGAGATGATGAGGATGGCATAGGGTAGGATGCAGTTCAGAGCCGTTGTTCATAAGGTCACTATGAGTCGTGATTGACTCAACAGCAACAACTATAAGTAGCAGTGAACCTGGTGGAGTGCTGGGTTAGATGTTGCACTGCAAACCGAAAGGTTTGCACTAAACATGCTGAGTGAGAAAAATTAGGCAATCTGTTTCTGTTAAAATGATAATCTTGGAAACTCCGTGGAGGCTTTCTTTAAAAAGTCTCCTATTAAAACTATGGAGGGTGTTGAAGAGAAGCAAGAGAAGGTTCCTGGTACTGTGCCAGAAAGTTTTAAGAATAAGGAATTCTACAAAATGATCAGGCACTTGAGAAAAAATATTTGCCTAAAAGACGCTTCAGGAGGCAGTGAGGAAGCTTATCTAGCAGAGCGAAGCACTGTCACAAGGAATATGTAGACACAGACACAGAACTGAGACGAGAATGGCCAGAAAAGTGAGAAATTTCTTTGTACCTGTAGAACCCAGGCTAACACATGTCATCAGGATCAGAGAGGTCCATGTTCCAGCTTACTCACTGTCACCATATCTTCAGTGGACATTTCTTAGGCTCTGCAGAGTTACAGTTAACATGCTGAAGATTGTGGAACCATATAGTGCGCGAGTGTCCTTGTAAACTGATCAAGAACCATGAGGGGAAAGCCGTATCTGACGTCTACTAACTCCGCCAGGGGGAATGGCCCTCATCATCATCCACAACACAAAACTAATTCCTAGGTCAGACATGTCCCTCATGCTCCCCTCCCGGACCTCTTTTTTTCCCCCCCTTGTTGTGACCGTCACGCCAGATCCAACTGGCACAGGAGGAGATTGTCCATCCTTCTCCAGCGGAGTATCTGGTGGATTCGAACCATGAGCCTTGAGGATTGTTAGTGCAGCTCCTTGCCACTATAGCTCCCATTCCTGTACCTCTTAACCAACTCAAACACCAATCCCACTGCTCTGTTGAGTCCAAAATCCTTTGCAGTAGCTCACAGAGCACATAACTGTGAGGTTTATTAGGGACCTCAAAAGGCTGTAATTCAGGTTTGGCAGCAGAATACACTCACTCAATAAGGACAGCTTCCGAAATGCAGACAACTCTGCCTCCAGCCTCGTGGCTTCAGGCCAGTGTTACAGAGGTCTTGGGCCCACTAATGTCGGCTCTTGCCCGAGACCTCCAACAAACTTGGGCAAAGGCTCCTAGCTCAGAGTCCGTGGGGTCGCAGCATTCCCAAGGTCACCTCTGTCTATTGTCAGGTCTCTGGTTCTCTGCTCCAACTACTGCTGCTCTCCTGTAGGTCTGGCTGGTGCAAGAATCTGTGGCCTGTTAGGGTTTGCTACATTCTCTGCCTCTTCTTTGCTGGTGGTGAGATTCTCAATTTATGCTGCTGAATCGCTCAGTTTAATGGTCAGGCTAATTAATCCCCTTGTGAACAGGCTAACACACTCTATACACATATTCCAGCCTGTCCACACATCGAAATCAATGGCTAGGAAAGCCATTCTGAAAAATAAACCCCTAACACCATAGTAGCCAAATCTGAAGCTGCCATTGCACTGATCTGTGATTTAAGCATGGTTATGGCAAAACTAATAAAATGTGTTGCCACGTAGCACTTTGATTGCACAATCTCATAAGATCTGTAATGTTAGGAAGTGCTTTAAAGAAGCAAAACAGTTTCTTGTCCTTCAAATTCTCTTCTCCATGAGATGGCACAAAGATAAAGACCATCTCTTTCCTGAGAAGTGGAGATCCTAGCAATACAGAAAACCAGAGCTACAGACTCATTGAACAATTTGCTAAACTGTCTACCAGCACAAGTTTTGGAATCTGATCCATTCATGAAATAGTAATGACTTTCAAACTGAAGGAAAAATTAACCAAATGAATGAGTTACCATGAGTTGAAATTAACCTAGTGGCAGTGAGTTTGGATTTTAATAATGGTAGTTAACATTTCCTGACTATCATATACCAGGCATTATTGGGACGGGAGCAGGAAAAGATGGATTTTATTTCTTGGGTCCCCACAGCTCTCTTAGGTAAATAGCATTAATGTGCTGGTTTTGGAGATGAAGAAATTGGAATATAGCCAGGTCATCTTGCTTGCCCCACGCCAACTACTGTCTTTGGTTCTTTACTTCTCAGGCATTTATATCCCAGAAGATGACAGAGATGCCCCCAAGAGGTTTCAAGGTCTTGGGGTACGGATTGAGGATGACATAGTGGTGACTCAGGGCTCACCCCTCATCCTTTCTGCAGACTGTCCCAAAGAGATGTGTGACATCAGACAGATCTGCAGCGGGACCTCCTGACCCTCCTCACAGCTCCCATGCTTCTCAGGCTGCTCAGAGGTGTGCCCAGCACCCGGTGCACGCGTGCTTGCTCTTGCTGCGTGTGCACTGATGCACGTCTCCCATTCGGGAGTGCAGTGGCTGCATGAGTCTGTGTGACTGTGTCTGAGGACTTTTTTATTGTTTTAAGTAGATGGAAATATGGAAAACTGAATTTTGAAACTGTGTGTTACTGCTTTGAAGACATTAGTTCTGAAGAATTAATGACATGGGCAGGTTAATTTTTAAATATAAAGAAAGGTCTTGGTTACATATGTCCATGCATTCCAGTAACACATTGAAAATACAGAAGAATTCTCTTCTCTCCAGGTCCCTCCCTGTTTGCCCTTGTACTAAGATCCACCTGATAGTATAACACATTTTGAGCTAAGGTCAAGATCTAGCCCACTCAGCAGTGGTTGTGGATGGAGAGCCAGTACAATCCTTCCAGATGTCTTCCCACCCTTGTCCAGGTTTTGTGAGCCCACTGGAGGCCTGGCAGCCCTCGGAGGTGCAGGTGCCCAGCAGTTCTACCCGCCAGCCATATTCCAGAAACACTGGACATCAAGCAAAACTGTTTCAAGCCTTTCTTGCCATTTGCTTGCCAGGGAATTAGATTTTGTGAAGGAAGGAAATGCAAGAGATAAAAAGGATATGTTAGGGGAGCTCTGGTGGCCTAGTGGTAAGGAGCTGCAACTACAATCCCAGAGGCGCACGGTTCGAATCCACCAGATGCTCTGCCAAGGAAGGAGGGACAATCTCCTCCTGTACCAGTCAGATCTGATTTGACGGTACACTCACACAAAAACAATAAAATAAAAGAAAAAGAATATGTTATGTCCACTGAAGACCTACGGGAAACTCGGGTAGCCTAGTGAGTAGGGAATTGCACTGCCAGCCCGAAGGTGGATGGTTCAAATCTACCAGCTGCTCCCACATGATTGATAGCCTCTGAAAACCCACTGGAAAGTCGGCTATGAATCGCCTCCAGCTCTACAACAGTGTGTTGAGTGTTGTTGTTTTACAGACCCAGACATCTGTTCGTCTGATCTCCTGACTGTAAGGTTGATCTTTCTCCTGACAACTTTAATCTTCCATTGCTTCTCTAGTGTGCTGTCCCTCCTAGCACACCCTGGATGTTCCTCTGACCCATGGGAAACCTCCTCTTGGACTGCTGAAATCGGAGAAAGGCACAGGACCCAGTGTCTAGAGAAATGCTCTTGCTGTCACTCTCTGATCCCTTGTTACTGACAAGAACAAAATGTAGGCATGTCCAGGTACCTTTAAATATCTTGTGATTCTTCCACTTCTCTGCTGTTAACACTGAAGAGCAAGGTGCCGCATTTCTTCAAATACAGTATTGAAAGCAATTAAGTAACAACCCAGTTTGCAAGGTGACCGGGACTCAGTTACTGCAGATGGTTTGTTCACAAGCTTTTGTCAAAGAGGGAAGCTTGGAAACCAAGAACCTTGGAAACACCTCTTCAAATCAGGACATGAGCCCAAAATACTAGAACCTGTTGAGTTATAGAGCATAGATTTAAAAAAATAAAAATAATTAGGGGATTCATACTGTTTGTCGAAGTTTGCCTACCTCATCAGGAAAAGTCAAGGTACACAGCAAAAAGCATCTGAGTGACTTGAGAGACAAAGATGTTACAAAGCAACATGATGCTGTTGGATCCTGACAGTGTTTTTCCATGAAGGCCAGGCTTCCCTTATCTCAGAAGCTGCAAGAGTGGATCGACACACAGCTGCCTACCTGCTCCACCCCCATCTAGCTTCTCACTACTGTCTAAAAGTCCAATGCAACCTTCTGAAAGAAGAGGCCTGGAGAGAAATCCACAGCCCTGGCTTCTCACCCTTGTCCCCCTCACTCGCAGGGTCTCTGTAGCCCCTCCAAGTCCTTTCCTTGGAGTGAGTTTCATTCTGTCCATTATCAACCCAAGAAGAAGAGAAAGATTGCCTTTTCTTTCTGTAAATAATTTCCTGTGATTGCCGGCTTTCCCCTTGAGACCTAGATGGCTTTCATGTGCAGCCGCATACTCAGACGTGAAACCAATTTCTTCTGGTTGGAGAACTAAGATGCCAGTCAGCGTCTGCGGATGTTGCTAGAGCAGTCAGAATGGCAACTGTGAAACTCTTGTGGAATTTTTCGTCCCTGACCCAGATACATTGTCCTCTGACTCCCAGACTAACCAAGGCAGCTAGCATTGGAATCAGACTTTCTCATAGCAGTGTTTCTGGGGCTGTTTAAATACAGTCAGCTTCAGCAGAGTAGATAACTATATGGGGACCTCAGTTCACTCTGAGCCACGGTGTACACACCCCACATTCCCTCCAGTTCCAGATATGATCAGTATTCCCCGTATGTATGTACCTAGTGACCCTAATGAAAACCTTAATTTTTTAAAAAATCCTCCGTGTGTTACCTCTGGAGTTTTTTTCCCCCTCTGAAATACATTTGAAGAGAGATGGTTGGGTCAGGGACTTAACCGCATACGTAGAGGAAGTAGCCCCACATGCATGTTTGTGTGTATTTGTTGTCAGGAATTCTGATTCTCTTCTCCACCTGCCACAATTGGCTGGATAGCTCCTTACAGAAGTAGAAATACTGCTGTCCCCACAGTCACAGTGTCACAGGCTGGGAGTTGTAGTACTCCATGTGTCCTTCACAAACATCCTCCATCACATCAGAACCAATTCATAGCGGACCGTCCAGCAGATTTTTCAGAGACCGTGAATCACACAGGAGGAGATGCCCCATCTTTCTCCTGCAGAGCCACGCAACTCCTTACCATTCTCCTTAATTTCTACAAGATCAGAAATTAAAAACTCACTGTTGTGTTCATTGTTGAAGTTCAGATCCGTGAAACAAGTGAAACCCCCCCAGATAAAACCTACTGTTGTCACATCTACTTCAGCTCTTGGTTTCTGAGGCTGTAAATCTTGATAGGAGGACTGCCCCACCCTGTCCCTGGCAGTAGCTAGTAGATTCAGGCCACCAGCTTTTCCACTAACAGCTGCAATCCACTGCACCACCAGGATTTCAACTCCTCAGAAAAATACTCAGGGGGTTCGTTATAGTTGAAAAACCAAACGCTGTTACTGTTTCTCCAAATGTAGATAAGCACCAACCTCCTGCTTTTAAAAAAAATACCAAGATCCTACAGAGGAAACATGAGTGTTGCCTCTTGTCCAGTGCCAAGGTCAGAGGTCACAAATCAAGAACAATCCAGCCTTGACCTCAGCTGTTCTCTTCAGTGTTTCAGACAGCTGTTCCTGATAAGAAACAGGATTCCTTCCCCTAGCTAGTACAGATATGTGTATATGAGAGAGATGAGGTGAGGCCTTGCAGGTGGATGGGACATTTAGGAGAAGGTGGATTTCTGCCCCCTCCCCCCAAGTTGCCTAAGGTGTAATCTACCACTTGAAACTGAAGGTGAAGGGACATTTACTTGAGCAAATACATCTTAAGCTGAAATGTTCAATGTGCCTAAATGAAGAAGTCTTTAAACCCTAACATCCGAACAGGATTCCATTGTCACCAACATTAACTCTGTGCTGCCTGAGTCACTGAGGAACATTGAGTGAGCAGCACCATTGCTGGAAATCAGAGGTTGTGGCTGATCTCAAAGATCTGCACAAACTAGAACCTTGGCTGACTCTTCTTGCAAATGTTTAGTGTGACTGTAAGGCCACTTTGGACAAAATGCTGTTACTCATTCCCCAACTTGGAAAAATATTTGTTTCTGTTATTTTCATAATAAACTATAAAACAATACAGAAGTATGTGGCCTGGGTATTATTTACGATCTAGAGTGTCCTGGTTTAGAACATTTCGTTTTAGACAATATTCTGTTTTACAGAGATTCATTAATCACTGTCACAGAATCATTGTAGGAAACGAGAAGCTATTTTATCTGCTGTCTTCAAGGGAAACATGTAGGCACACCCTGTTAAAGGTCATCTTGCCACAAGACTGACCTGCAGGCCTCCTGTAGCTCCTGCAGCACTCAAGACTAAGCTTTAGCCTTGGGCTGGGTTTTATAATGAAGTAGAAGCCTTTGCAAAATTATGTAAATACGTGCACTTTCTCAGTAAGCTTTATAAATGAACTTAAGTGTAGCTATCTTCTCCCTACTAGGATTCTTCTGTAGGCATGCTTCTCAGCACTTAAGCACACATCAGAATTATGTGGTACACGGGGTGTAAACTGCGATGACTGGGAGGTGTGTACACGTGATTTGGAAACAGTCTTAGAAATGTTAATGAAACACTTGAGTTTACTTATGGTAACAGGATTTTTCATTTCAAACCCAAACTGACAGTTCTTAGACTTCTTAGTGTTTTTGTTTGTTGTTATCTGATGCCTTGAGTCAGAACCAACTCATAGCTAACCATCCAGAAAGTTTTCAGAGGCAGTAAATCACATGGAAGGAGACTGCCCATCCTCCCGCAGAGCAGCCAGTGGATTCAAACTGCATGCCTTTGGGAGTGCATTGCAGCTTCTTACCACTAGGCCACCAGAGCACCCTCTTAATAATCACCCTCAAAAAGCATCTGTCAGTGCTGTTGATCTCAACACAGTGTGACCCCAGAAACATGGCTTACTCCTGTGCTGGCCTCCCTCTTCCCAGCATGCTGTCCTTTTCTAAGGACTGGCCTCTCCTGTCAGTTAAACCTCTAGTATGTGAGCTGGAGTTTCCCCATCCTTGCCTCTAAGCAGTTCTGGTTGCCCTTCTCCAAGACAGATGTGTTTGTTCTTTTGGCAGCCAGTACTCTTCCACAACTCACAGTTCAAAAGCATGTTCTTCCTCAGTCTTCGTCATTCATTGACCAGTTTTCAGATGTTTGTATGAAACAATTGCCAGCACCATGGCGTGGAGCAGGTTCACCTTAGTATTTAAACTGCCGTTGCTCGTTAGCTCTTTAGAGAAAATTTCTGACAGCAAATTTCCCCGATGTACCACCTCTCTTTC